AAAAAAAAGTTTATTTTTAAAAATTCTGCTTAATATGAATAAATGACATGAAAAAGAAAAATTGAGATAATATTTAAAGATGAATTACTATCTATATCTCCAAACTGACAGCTATGCAGTCAAATAAATCCTCATTTTGTTTGATTAATGTTTTTCTAAAAAGAAAAACATTTATCTTTAAACGAATAATTATTTACAAAGAAGAAAAGACGAAGAGAAGAAAACAATGATTGAGAATAATATACAATATAAAAACGTGAATATTTTTTATTTAGTTTTATTTATTTATTTCTATCGTTTTGATTTTGTTGTACGTTGTTGATCTGATTTAAATCTTTTATAATCCATATCGGTACTGTTTCGAGAATAATTATCTTGACGATCACGCTTCAAATTCGAATAAAACAAAACAAAACAATTATAGAGTAAAGAAAAAAATATTTGAATGAATTACTTGTGATAATGAATAATTATTATAATTTGTTGAAAGAATTGAATGATGATTTTGAAGTGGTGGAGAATAAATATTTGTTCGAGATGGATTATCAACTGATATTAATCCATAATTAATTAAAGCACCTATTGCTTGAACTATTTCTCTTATATGTGGATCAATAAAACCAAGGGATGTTAAAGAATTCTAAAATAAAATCAAAAGAAATATATTTATTTTTAATCAATATTTACCATAAGTGAATCAACTGTTATATGATTTGTTCCACCAGCATTAATTATTAATTGAGATAATCGTTGTAAACCACTCAATTGAAGAGACATATACGATGATGAATTCATTGACATTAAACCATTATTTTTTCCATTAGAACCATCTAAATAAATCAAATAATTTATCACATTTTTCTAGAATATTTCTTAATCAATTGATCAGCTTCCGAAAGAGATTGTATTCTACTTATATAAAATTAATCTATTTGTGAGAAAAGTTTTGTTAATATACGATTCAAAAATATTTAACTATGACTTATCTATTCGATGAAAATTTAAATAAAAGTGAATAATAAAATAACATACGATCATTAAATGATGGAATATCATTGATTGTTGATGAATGATTATAAAGATTTATTGATGAATTTTTTTCATTTGAATAATTAACACTTGTTATACTATCATGATGAGGATCTTCAATAATTTTTTGTAAAACAACATCTAAAGCTTTTACACGAATTGCATCATCGCCTTAAGGAAAATCAAAATTAGTTTTCTTCAAATAAAAAAAAGAAAAATTTACCAGTAATTGTCATAACTCTTTCAGACATATCAGATTTTGGTGTAATTGTAAGTGAAGCAGTTGTATCATGTTTAATATTTTCAATAGTTGATCCACCTTTACCAATAATAACTCCAGCTGTTACATTTGGTATAAGTAATTTTATTTGACGTGATCGAAGAACATCACCTGGAAAACTTTCTTTTATTTTCTCTGATAAAAATTCATAGACCGATAAAACATTTTCAATTGTTCCAATAACAAGACAAACACGTTCTTGTGTACCAGGAAAATAATCCTAAATAAAAGTTTTATTTTAAAGAACAAAAAGTAAAAATGAAAATATTTTACTCCTGCTTTTGACATTTTCATTTTGGTATTTGTTTCTCTTTGTAATGATGCTATTCTTTCTCCACCTTTTCCAATAACACTGCCAGTTGTCGTACCAGGTAAAAGAAATTTAATATGAACAATATTTTCATTTGAACCATTTGTTTGAGCATTCGATGATTCTTTATCTTCATAATCTTGTCGATTCTGATGATAATTCTGATGATTACGAGATGAACTTGATGATGATGACATATTAATCAATTTTCTTTTATTCAAATATTACAAATATAAAATAAAGATTATCAGATTGATTCAATTTCAATAACGTACGACATGACATCAGATTCGTTTAACAATGAACACCTCTACCACAAATTCTTTTTTTTGATAGAGGACGCTAGATGTCGACTATTCCATTCTCTTTTTTATTTTCATGGATTATCGCAAATTGATAAACGAGAAGAATTAATTAAAACAATATCGATTGAATTTCGCAAATGTATATATCTAAACTCTATACAAATATTCTATATATGACCAAGGTTGACGAGCGCATGTACATTCATTTAATAAACATCAAAGAAATAGATAAATTTTAAATTTGAACAAATATTTCTTATTATTTAACATGTAAATATATGTAAAGAAATAAATGTTTAGAAAATCCATACAATCACTTTTCATTATTGTTTCTTATTTCCATATGTGAATGTGAAGATAATGATTAAACTAACCTTTATTTCGTATTATATCGACCTATAAAGTTACCAATTATGTTATAATTCAAGGTTTCAAATAATTATATGAAGATTGATAAATCATGTGTAATTCATCATTAACTTTGAAGTCCTGCATAGAGACTTGTATACTACATCTTCTGATCAATAATGTATATTTGTTGCAAAAAATAATGAATAAGTCGTTTATGTACTAGTATAATTTTAAAATTTCTTTCAGAAGTCTAAACAAAGGATGTATGTATATATTATTGTTTAGACTTTTTGATTCTTCCATTAGTATTGATAAAAAACACTTGGAAAAAAACTTTGATTTATTGAATAAGACTGATTTGCTCTATTTTTGTTTTTGTATAGCAAATTAGAAAACAATTTGCCGAGTTTGCCTTAAATCGATCTAAATATTCGTTAATGTAAAGCAGATGTATCTCTATGACATATAAATTAGTTTTGAAACCCTTCTATTGTATTCTGAATGATATTTATCAATAGAAAAACAAAGAAACAAAAAGCAGCAAAAAAATGTTGATTGATGAGAGTTCCTCATGTTTACGACACTGTATGATAGATATTTAACCTCTGTCATATCAATCATCATTCAGCCAGATAACACAACAACAATATCATTTGTTAGACTTCTTACTTTTTCTAATTAAATTACGATGAATTTCAATTAAGTTTTTTTTTTATCAATAAAATATTTTTTGTTATTAATTGCAAATATTTATGTAAAACACCATTAATTAAGATTATTTAATAAATATAAAAATTTAAGTTTTTATTTGATTGAAACAAATTACAAAAAGATTTACTTTTGATATATCAAATAATGAATTTCATAAAATGTAAATATTTGAAATAGATTTTGATACATTAACTGTAAAGACTAATAAATTAATATGGAAATAATTACTTATTAGAAACAATAAGAACAATCTCGAATGTCATTTGTAGAAGAATGCTTCTCTCTTCTCATCAACCATATATTTATAAGCAGTTGTAATAGAATCATCTAAGCGAAGTATCCTCTTGAGTACAAAACAAATGTTCTCGTTATAGAAGAAAATTGGTTAATTTTATTTTGTTTTATTTAAGATCTAATGGCAAATAATATAGTTATTGATATTCCACCAGAATTAATCCAATATGGTAAAACATTATTAATTGAAAAACATTCAGAATTATTTCTTGATGGTTATCATTTATCTAAACCATCAGTTTTTGTTCGACAAGTTCATGGATTATGTTTAGTTGATAGTCAACAACAAGATCATAGATCAGTTACTCCTACTCATCTATTAGAATCGACTCTTGATGATGAACGTAAGTTTTTCTTTTGATTATCTATCATTTCATATTCAAATTTATTTATGTAGAACTTGTTCAAATAATAATTGAATTTCCTCCTGAATGTTTGAATATTGGAAAAAGTGTTATAATAGAAAAAAGTAATTCAAATGAAGGAAAACAACCATTAGGAAATTTTAAAGATCTTTATAATGAACATCAATCAAATAAATCTTCGGAAAGTAAAGATATTCATATACAAATTCCAAAACAATGTATTGAAAGAGGAAATATGATTGTTATTCATAAAGAAAAAGTCTTTTCAATAAAAGCGAATGATTATTTAAAACAACAATCAGGTCATTTTATAAATAATCAATTTGCTAAAAGAGATCATCTTCAATCAAAAAGTATTGTTTTTTATTAAAATATTTTCTTAAAAGAGATTATAGGATATATTTAGATTTGATGGAAATGACAATTGAAATTCCACCAGAATTTCTTCTCAATGGTCAAACAATTACATTTCGAAAAGAAGATGCACAATCTGTTGCTGCAAATTTTCCTTATCGTCGTCATTCGAGAACTGATGCACCAGCAACAAATAATAATAATCTTCAAAAGATTTCAATGGAAGAATTTCTTTTAGATAAAATATGGAATCCACTTCTATTAGAAAATGGACATTTATTACAATTATCTCTCGATTTTACTAATCGATCAGATATACATAGTAAAGATCAATTAAAAATAGTACACAATGGACACAATTTACATGTAGAAATAAATAATCAACAAGGTTCGAGTATATTTAAACAGGTTCTTTTACCAGAACAAGTTAAATTAGATCAATTAAAATCTCATTTTGATGGACAACATCATTGTCTTGTTATAACACTTCCTGTTCAATGAACCATCATATACATATATATTACAATTTGCTATCAATCTTTTTATTTATACTCGCGTATTCTATCGTTTTTATCCTTATATAATCAATAAATATTAGTTTCCAATACAGTAAAATACGAAGTTTTCTAAGAAACAGAAAATCATCAAAAAGTCCAAGGAAAATTTTTTTCCTTAAATAAGTTTCTGATCATTTGAAATTTTCTATCTGTGATAAAAATATCATCGAAGTGTCTTATATCGAAATATTATAATAAATTCTCATCCTTCACCTGTTTTTCTCTTGAGGTAAGTATATAAATAACTCACATAATAGTGACGATCAATATCAAGTTATACAAAGAAAAATAAAATAGCTAAATTATATTTAATAAGTCTTTATTCATTTGAATTGCGATTGACTTTTTGTCATGCAATTAAAACTAGTAATGGATTGTGACATATTCTAATAGAAGAAGTGTAGTGTTGATGGTATTACGCTTTATTATATTTGTTCTTATCAAGAATTGTATCGTTTTCTTACAAAGTATATCATTAGATACGAGTCCGTTAGAGAATAGAAAAGAATTGATAGGGTCAATGTATAATATGATGTAAAAAGTAAGGACAAAAAAGAATGTATATGTAATACATGCAGTAGAAGTGTGTGTGCCATATATAACTAGAATATTATTTGTAATTAGGGGTTAGAATTTATTGTTATTGTTATTGTTATAAATAACATTAACTTTTTTGTTATTGTTATTTGTTATAAATAGCAGATAAATAACAAATAACTTTTAGTTTTGGAAAAAATCTTTTCCCATCTCATTCTATATTTTTTAATTGTGTCCCTTATGTAAACTTACATTTTGGAACCAATTTTCTGTATCTATACTACTGATTTATATAGTTCAATCAACATATGAAGCAAGCTAAGCTTCCAGGGAAAAAAGTTATGTATTATTTATAACAGAACAATAACAATAACTTCTCATGCCTATTTGTAATTTTATTCAGTAAAATAATATCAAGGTAAGAGGAAAACATCTATTTCTTGCACTACCAATATTATTATTTGATCTTAAAAGATTACGTAAAGAATCAAATGATTTACATAAAAATCAAGAACAAAGCAAGAAAATAGTTACGAAGTGAATTGGCACGCATGGAAAGACATTATTTTATGATATGTAATTAATTAATAAATTTTGAAAGGTTTTTAAATAGATGTACTACAAACTCTGTCATCGTATAATGTACTATTATCTGTTTTCAATCAAGCAAGAAAGAAGAGAACTACGTAGTATGTAAAGTTGATAGTTTATGGTGTTATCAATTGTATCGCATCTCTCTCTAATCTATTATAATGATTTCTCATAGACAGAGTATGAGTGTTGATGGTATTGTACTTTTATCATAATTCTCCTTACTGAAAACCACATTATTTTCATACAAAATATAACCTTATATACCCACCCACCAGAGAAAATGAAAGAAAAGTACAATAAGGACAATATATCAAGTGAGAAGGAATCATAAAAATAAAACTCCAGATCGTGGAGAAATTTCTCCAAAGCTTGATTGTACTGACTCTTGCAGAGACCAAATGCATAAAGAATAATCTCATTTACTTATTTGCTAATCTATCTTCCTTGTCTAAATATTGAAAATATTAATAAAATAACATTTATTTAATGATTCTCAATCAAAAACAAATACTCTATTCACTATACTTCATTATTTTTATGTTAAATATTAATGACGGTAAAATAGTCAGGATTCGATATTATGATTCATCTTTGTTGCGCAGCATCTACAAAGGTGAGAAGAAAATCAATATATATATATATTTATGATCTAATATGTTTATACATTTAAAATCTTCGTAATGTATTTAATCATATTTTACTTTGTTATTTTTCTTGTTGAACGAGGAAAGGGCACAACATATGAATGTAATATAAATGCAACATGTGGATGTTCATCTTCATCTACTATTTTAACACGTATTATTGGTGGTGAAAATGCTGTTGAACGATCTTGGGGATGGATTGTTTCTATTCGTAAAAGACAATCACATTTTTGTGGTGGATCTATTTTTTCATCATCATTTATTATTACAGCTGCTCATTGTGTTCACGATATAACTAGTTTATCAGATATTACTATTCTTGCTGGAAGTAGTACTTTAACACCATCTTCATCAAATAAGTTTTATCAAATTCGATCAATATTTCAAATAACTATACATCCTAGTTATGCTACTACTGATACATATGAAAATGATATTGCACTTATTCGTTTATCTACTCCATTAGATATGACTAATGGATATATAAAACCAATATGTTTACCAACTGGTACTAATTCTGAACCATCAGATAATATTGATATAATAGCTGTTGGTTGGGGTGTTACATCAACATCACAAGATATATCTTCTCAAAATCTTCAACAAGTTACTATAAAATCTATAAAAAGTACATCAAAAGATTGTTTAAAAATTATTGACAATAGTCAAGTACAATTCTGTGCTGGAATATTAACAACTGGTGGCAAAGGTTATATATTTATATAAAATCTATTTATTTTTCATTTTTATCTTTCTAGATACTTGTCAAGGTGATAGTGGTGGACCATTAGTGGCATTTGTTAATGGTCTATGGCAACTTGACGGGATTACATCTTATGGATACGGTTGCGCATTACCTGGTTATCCAGGAGTCTATACTCGTGTTAGCTTTTATATTCCATGGATAACATCTATTACGCAATCTACTCAATCTTCAGTCAATTATTTCGTATCAACCGCAACAACAAAAGCAACGACACAAAAGTCAATAACTACCGAACAAACTACTACCACTAAAAAATCAACAGTAGCTATAACAACTACTACGATGCTGAGAATACCGGTGACTTCTATAACAGCAACAACAATGAATACTAAGACTAGTTCGAAAAATTTAATTCAAAATTCTACGAAAGAAACTGTATATCTACAAACTGTAAGTACAACAATCCAAAATCGTTTTGTAGAAACTACAATTAAAAATTCAAGTAATAGAATATATTGCATATTTCAATCTTTATCTATAAGATTCTTTTTTGTCATTATAATTACTGTTTATAGTTATTTATTATAAATATTTTATTAAATAATTAACTCACAATTAAAATATAATATTTAGTTATAACATTAATTTAGACAATAAAGATAAAGAGTTATGACTTATATTTAAAGTCATTTCTGTATTTAATATGAAAAAAAAGATTGATTAAGATCAATTTTGTTGTAGGAAATAATAAATCTAAGAAAAAGAAAAAGATTTTTCGAAATATCAATGAAATAATTTCCAAATTTAAGTACTTTTAATATTGTTATTTGAAAGATTTCTATTTGTATAAAAGATTTTTAAATAAATAATAATATCATTTATTTATAAAAAAAATCCTTAAGAATTCAAATTAATAAACTTTTTCTTTCTACTAAATAAAGAAATCTTTGAAAAGATTTCAATCATTATTTTTATTAGTTCAGATAAGATATTCAGAAAACAAATAAAATCATTTAGGATATTTTGTATTCGAAACTTTTTGAGATAAATATTAACAAAGTTTTGATTTAACAGTTTTCTTCTTTAAATATGAAGTATTCAACTAACACACATCAAAAAAATCAATTATCCTATATATAGAATTATTTGTTTTGGTTTATTTACATAAAAATAGTCGAAAAGTGGCACATTATATAAATGCTAGCAAAATAAAACAAATTCATATAAAATATCCATGAGTAATTTATTGTAAGTTTTTTTATTATATATCTATGTTTTTTCTAATAAATATTATAATATTTTATGAAGATCATATAATAGTTTTGGTGATCCATATTTACAAACATATTTTCAAAATAAAAATATTCAAAAACATCTTAGAAAAATTGGACTTGTATGTTTATTAGAAAATAAAATTTTCTAAATCAATATGTTTTTAAATAGATCAATCATCACGATAAAATCATTTCACATAAACAAAATCAATCAATACGTAATGAATATTCTCGACAAGAACATATTCCAATTTTATTACCAAATGAAAATGGTCAACGGTAAATTTTATTTTTCATTTCATTTTTATGATTTTTATTTTCATTGGATTAATATAGTGTTAAAGGATTAAGAAAAAGTCGGAAAACATCTGCAATTAATGAAAATATAAAAGTATGTTTTACACATACATAAATATATCTTCTCTTTTTTTTGTCAACATAAAAATTAGGAATTAAAAGAACGATATCATTCATTACATTTAAATGATTATGGTTTACTTAATCGATCGAAAAAAACTCGTCTAAATATTAATAATAATAATAATTGTATTGATCAAGAACAAGTTAGTTTTATAATTTATTTCAGTAATTATGATGAGTTAACAAATCTCTCATTGATTCAATTTTGTTTTTTAAGATTAGATTTATTAATTCGAAAGAAAAGATAAATACCTTCGCTCATAATACAAAAACACATGATTTCTTTACATTTTTCTCATTATTATAATATTCGAATCATTCATTTAAATAATCCATAACACAAATACACTAACATTTAGGTTGAAATCTATTTTATGCATGAATAGTTTTTCTTTCAGTTCCTAAAACGTTTATTTTAGTAGAAATATATTTATCATAGTTTAATTTCAAATCTTCTATTTTAACTTATTGATATTGTAGTGAAAAATCTAATCTTATCTATTGATATTTTCCAATCATAAGAATAGTAATATAGATTTTGAAATTGAAAATCAATTCTAAGATATTCTTTATATTTATTTAAAAATCTTTTTCTAGTTCAAAAATCTTGATGAACAAAGAGAAATTCCATCAGGTTTATCAACAAAAACAAATGATTTTATTCGTTCGAAAAGCTTGAAGGTATTTATAAAATTATAAATAAATTTTAATTTAAGAATAAATGAATTAGATAAATAATTCTTGTGAAATCACAATGATTTATTTGGGATCACAAACAAATTTTAATACGAATCAATCAGAATTTAATTTGAATGGTTATGAAATAATTGTTATGCAACAACATTGTGGAGGAGAAAATCTTATTGTTTTTAAAAATAATCTTAAACCAAATAGTTTGTTTTTATATGAATAAATTTTCTTTATGAATTTCCTTTTAGAAAACTTTACATTTCAATCTCGACGTCATTTTGATTATCCATTTGCATTAAGTTTATATGTAAATGATTTAATTGATTGTCGAATATCAGTTTGTTGTGAATATAAACATAAAATAGGTGTACCTCTAGGTGGAAAACGAGCTTCATTTGCTTTTTTAAATATCCAAGGAGGACAACCTTGTTTAACGTTTGTTGAAAATTTTATTAATTTCTTCTTATTAAATTTTATTTAATAGATGTCAATTCAATCAAAATTCTTCTTTTTTTCAACAAAAATCATCGAATGAAAGTTTAGTAAGAAAATATTTTATTTTTATTTTTAGAAATAAATTTAATAATTTCGTTTTTTTTCAAAGAGATTTCTTAATGATCAAATTTTTAATCATTTAAATACAGGTTAAATATTTTCGTTTTATATTTATTGATTGAAAAAAACAATTTTTCTACTATTTAGACAAACTTGAATATGATACAAATAATTCAAATGAAAACGGTTAGTAGAATATTTAAGCGAAGTATAATTTTATCAAAAGATGATAATAGTAAAGCATTCAAAATCGAACACAACGGATAGTAGGATGAACATAGAGAGAAAGTCAAATTTAATGCAAAGAGTTTGTCATGATATGTCTATGTATTAAAATAGTTTATTATTTCCTTTGAAATTTTTGTACAAAATTAAGTTTCAAAGATTTGAAAGAATTTAATAATATAAATGGAAATGTTTTAGATTGAGAACATATTTTCTTCTTCTAAAGATCTTCAATTGATCTGAAGAGATTATTAAACAAATTTGTATTGTTCTTTGATATTCATTACTGTTATATAAAAAAGTAGATCTCTCATTGACAACATATGAAGTTCTTTATTGTCAGAATTGTTCTAGAACCATTGAAGAATGATCCAATTTCTCACTAATATTAATAAGATATTTTACTCATTAACATACACTTTCCTATCCTATTATCTTTATAAAAAAACGCGAAAAAAGCAATTTTTTAAAACCATTCGACTTCAATTCTTAAGAAAGTAGTTAAAGAAATCGTTTCTTTTCAATGGTCAAAACTGCAGTTGTCCATCTTATTCCTATCGAAAGTTATTCAATATATACTCCACTTGCTTTGTATATTGAAATGGGTACTAGTGATGAAAAGTTCAATTATCTATCTATTTTTGAATAAAATCATTGAATTTGAAGTATAAATTATTTTTTCTTTTGTATAGATATTTTTAAAGAAGCTAAAGAAATGTATGAAAAACTTCTTATTAAAAGTCAAAGAAATGTTAATTGGAAAGAAAATGGTTATTTACATAGTCAATTAGGTAATATATGTAAAGAAGGTTTAAATGATTATAAAAAAAGTCTTGATCATTATTTAATATCACTTGAAATTTTATGTCAATATATGTCACCATTTGATATTAAACTTAAAAATATTTATCGAAATATTGTTCATATACTTCTTTTACAAGAAAATAATCAAAATTATTTAGCAATTAAATATTTTCAACGTATTATTCATATTGATTATATAGAAAATAATGAGAATGAATGTAATCTTATTGATGATCATTTTTATTTGGGATTATTATATAAAAATGAAGAAAATTATTGTCAAGCTTTATTTCATTTAGAAAAATCTTTGAAATATATTTTATCAAAAAATATACAAAGAAAAAATGAAAATTTCGATTTTTTTGAAAAGAATTATTCAATTAATGAAACAATTTATGATAAAAAAGCAGCTTTACAAGATTTAACAAATATAAATTTATCCGATTTACATTTTCATTTAGCAATTTTATATGAACAGATGAATTTAAAACAAAATGCATTAATACATAAACAAAAAGCTCTTGAATTAACAATTTTTGATCAAAATAAATTTCATTATTATCAAAATTATTTTTCAAAATTAACAAAAATAAACAAATAATTTCTTTTTTTATATTTTTACATATATAATATTAGATTTTCAAAGACAAAAAATATTTTAATGAAATATTCTTTATAATTTTTATTTTAATTAATAATCGAAAAACTGAAAGAAAAAGTTCAATATCTAAGATAAACTATATGCAATACTAAACAAGATTTTTTCAATATTATCTGACTAACAATACCAAAAATCGACGAAATTATATTTTAGGATTTAGATTAAATAAATGAGTACACAAGGTGATATAAACTTCATTTTACCGTACAAGAATTTGCATATCTTCCTAGCGATTCGTGCAACAAGGCTGATTTTCTTATCGACTATAGAAGCATAGTCATTCTTCATTTCGATCGAGACAGACTGAGAAAAAATCTCCACGGAATATTAATATGGGTACTAACAGTGAACAGTATTAAACGGAGTAAAGAAACTCATGCCATGTTAATTGCTCGTTTGCAACACAACACAGCGATAGGAAACTAACAAAAAGAGAAAAGATGTATGAATTAAATGAAGATTGTGAAGATATCATTCTTAAGATTGTTTTTAGGATCCATTAAATGGAATAGTTAAAAATACACATAGACGAAAACAAAACAAATTTTTTATCTATAGATCGATTATCAAATTAAGATAATCATTTTTATTCATATTTACAAATTCTTAAATTTTCGCACTTTGTAAAACAAATGATACTCAACAAAAAAAAAACGATTTAGAGTTTCTAATTATCGTGACCTTTTTTTGTATCACAAAACTATATAACGAGTAGAGTATCTTTCAACTCAATGAAAATTTCATTCAAGACTCATTCGATTGAGAACTCTTTCAACCTATATATTTATCTTAGTTTATTATATTTTTTCGCTAAAAATAATGGAATATATTGAAGATGAAGTTAGGAAAGCAACAACTAATAGGTGAATGAAATTACAAATAATCAAACTTTAATTGATCAAAATCCAGTTGATATTACAAAAAAATCAGATCAAATGTTGTACATTACAGTATTAATTCATAAACTAATCGAATTTTTAGAATGTTTTAAGAGAATAGAAATATCTTTATCCAATGACAAACAAAATATGCTAAAAAGATTGAAAGATTTTGTATTATTTATCTTTCACCATTGATTATATTATTAAGTAAATGTATCATATGAATAGAATTGTAATATAATCAACAAATATTAAGAAAATTCATAGAATATTCTAACTAAACTAGTGAACAATCTAATGATATATAATATTATTGTATATTTTAATTTCAAATAAATTCTTCAATCAATAATATTGATTATTCTTTAAAAAAAGTAATTCTTTTATTTTTTGAATATTTTATTTGAAATTTTGATTTAGTTTTAAGCTATGTAAAATATAATTAGAATAAAATAAAAATATTTTCTAAACTAAGATGAAAATATACATATGATTGATTTTTTTAATAGTAATTTGATCGATTTTGTATAGGTTACTTTATCTAACCTATAATATTATTAAAAAAAATTATTGTTTGAATAATGATTCATTTGTCACGCGTGATTGATCATTTGCGACGTATGTATTTATCTTCATATAATACGAACATTTCACGCAAACATATTTTTTAAACATAAATAATAAAATATTTTCCAATGAAACGTATACAACGTTTAGGTAGTGTTTCATTTGTAACAGTATTACTAAGTTTAGTATTTCATCTTCTTGCAATGTCAAATGATGAATGGAAAACTATAACATGCCATGGATGTGGTAATACAACTGATCTTCAAGATATACTCGGATCATGGACTGTAGCATTAACTGAACGTTGTTATTCAACATCAGTAGTAGGAATATTTGCACCAAATGGTGGTTATACTGGTTTAACTGCAAGTGGATTTCGAGCACAAGTTTGTGTTGAAAATCAATATCTTATGGTTAAAGATATACGAAATGCATCTTATTGTCTTCGGTATAATGAAGGTTTTAGTGATGTAGCTTGTACGCTGACAGAGTATAATACAAAGGCTTGTAAATGCGAGTAAGTTTTAGAAGACAAAAAAATGAAAAGAATTTCTTTAAATTCTTTTTCTTTTTCTTTTTCTTTTCTAGTTATTCAACTCGAATAAAATTAATCTTAGCTATGACTATTTTAACATCATTATCACTTGGAATCTTAATATTTATATCACATTTAGTAGCATTTGTCAAAATTGATTATGTTTTAGAATGGTTAATTCCAACTTGTTATAGTCTTTTATTCTTTGCTATATTATGTATATTTATAACTTTATTTACTGCTGGTACAGGATTAGATGACGAAATTAATCAACTTCGTTATAGTCAGTCACTTTTTGAAGTTGCTTATTTTAATGGTAAAGTTTAAATTATTTATTATTTTCTTTTTTTTTAGACATACATCTATGTATTTTTTATTTTGTTTTGATAGATTCATCAGCTACTGCTCATATGAATGCTTATAAGAAGACTTTAACACGTACATATTCAGTAAAACTTGGATGGTGTTTTGGAATGGAAGTTATGGCACTTTACTTTTCAATTGTTTCAGCAGTTCTTTATTTACTTATGTATCTTGTCAAACAACATCCTAATGCAATTAAGGCAATTAAATAATAATTTATTTGATTAATCCATTATTCTTTAAATATGTATTTTATTAAAGAAGATTAAAAAAAACATTTTTTTAAAAAAAGAAATTATTTATTTATATTTTAATCAATAAATAAAATCAGTTCATTTTCCTTCATATATAAAAATCATTTAAATTAAAAAAAAGGTTACATGAATTTAAACAATGCATAAAACTTTCTTTTCTCATAACTCTTCAAAAATCTTGATAAGAATTAAAAAGAGACAATACATATATTAATCTCACATACTATTATGAATATTAAATTCAACATATACTCTAGTATTTCGTTTGTCATATTATTATAAGAAACAAATATAAATGAGTAATAATTCTACCTAGAATTATTATCTGCCAGATACCTCAAAAGGTTGTTCTACTTAAATTTTTCGTTTAAATTATACAAAGCGCACCGATTCAGTTTGTTGTATTCGTTATTTGTCTGAAAATAGAAAAGTTTATTCTTTGTATTTCGCTGAAAGATGATATCTTAGAACAGAGCTCATCAGATTTGTTAATACAAAAAAGAAGATTTGTTGGATCCATCTATTATTTACAAAAGTAAGTTGATCATGCTTAATCGAATAGTCATGATAGACGGAAAAATGTAAATAGAAAAGACTTCTGGGACTGTTAGGGATGTACCGAGCTCGGGATGTGGGTGTGGGTCTGGATAAAAGTGCACAGGATCATACCCGCATCCACCCACATTCAGGCTCTGATTGAGGCTCGGAACATCTCTATCTGGGACCCTTCGTATCTAAAAACTCTGTATTTTCAAGAGCAGACGTAGCATCGATTTTAATGTAATATTATTGTATAAGATATCTGTCTTTGTTAAGAAACAGAAAAAGCGCTGTTTAGTTTTCTTTTTTTTTTAAATGAAATTTTGTTCGATTTTCTTAAAAATTTTCTTTTATCTAAATATTTTAAATAAAATATGTTCATCGAATATTTCAACATCTGAATGTTCGTTAACGATTGAATTAAAAAATAATTCTATAACATGTTTACCTTCTGAATGTTTTAAATATTTGAATCCAAAAAAAATTCTTGAAAGATCGTGTCAAATAAATTATTTGAATTTATCTTTTACAAATGATGAAATATTCTTAGATTTTATTGAAAATCAAGCTCAACATGAATTTTTGCTTGAAGAAATTTTTAATGAAAATAATCAACAAACAAATACAATTGAAGTAGAAAAAATATCTTTTTTCTATTTTTTTAAAAAAAAATAATTTTTTTAGATTTCTATTGATTATATAAATAGAACGAATAATGCAGATTTTCTTTCATATGATATGTTTTCATATCTGGGAGGAGAAAGTGAAAATATTCAAATATTTAAATTAAATATTAATAGATGGATAGAAAATAATTTGAAAAATCTTATTTATATTCAAGAAAATCTTATTTATGATCAACCATTTGAAGAAATTTCTTTGAAATTTTATTGTAATTATAATTTAACATTTGTTCAATGGATTTTATATAAACAAAAATCTCTTCAACAAAAATCTCCATGTCCAACACAAATTCAAATTCAATCAGAATATTCTAATCAAGATATTTACCTTCATAATAAATCAATTATTATTGAAAAACATTCAACTCAAAAGAAAAATCGTTTGAGTTTCATAATTAAGGTTTGTTTCTTTTCTCTTATCAAAATCAAAACAAATATAAAAGCAAAAAAAATATCCCTTATATAAAAATATTAAAATATTCTTCTCTTAGAGAAACGTAGTAAAAGTGAAATTTATTAATCTATTGTTTCTGTGATTAAAGCGATAATAATGTGAGTAGTCATCTGAATAAAGCTTTTAAAAAATTAATGATTAAATATATTGTTTTTTGTTTACATCGAAATATGAGAAAGATTATCTTATGATAAAATAAAATCTTATTGTAAGATTCATTTCTGCTATTTACTTTCTACTTGTCAAGTACGAGTCTCTATTCTTATACACATAACTCACAAAATTTTAATAAACATTCCTTGAAATCTATAAGATCAACGAATTAAAGATAGTTTCATTAGTTTTTAGAAGATCTGATGACTGAAGTTTTACTTGATTCATTTTGTGCTAAGTATAAGAGAAACGAATTTCGAGCTTGAATTTAATATTAAATTTAAATATGAATTCATCTCATTAGAAAGATTACTATATTATTTTTCATTAAGTCTCTATTCAAACAATTTTTGTATTTTTATTAAAGAAAATATTTGTTATTTAATGAATATAGCCTAATGTAGAAAACTTCAAATTTAAAAATAAACTCTATTGACAGTGTCAGAATAAAATCAAAAGGAGATTTAAGACAATGATTTTGAGAATGAATGTAATAAAAAGTAAGAAAACACGTTATATTTTAATCTAAATAATAGATTCGTATATTTTTCAAAAATGATGAGTTTTAAAAGGTTTTATCTTTTACATCATTGAAGAAAAATATATCATAACTCAGTCTCTTTCGATTGCTGAAAACCGCAGATTACTATCTATTATCATTCTTGACATATTTGTCTTACATTCATCACAACTTTATTATGCCGTTGACAATAGATAAAATATTAAAAAGAACTAATTATTATATTAAAGATTCTATGTATTGTTAATAAATAAAATTTAATACAACAAAAAATTTTCTTTTTAATCATCGGATGAAATTTCTTGAATTATAAAGTTAAAATATTGTCATTTCAATCTATACTATTTCCTAAAACAAAAGAGACTGACGCCCTAAAATTTATTTTCAATAAAAATTCGACATTTCAATGATCCGTAAGAATATATTTCGTTTTTTTTTGTAATTTAGATAATAATTTGTATATGTTTAATAACAATAGGAATTGTATTCTGTATATATTATTTTGTTTATTTGCCAAAATTTACAAAACGTCATAATAATTATTTCGATAATTATGATTTAAATACATCTGTTAGTGAAGCTGATCAAAGTAATATTGGATAAATAATCGATTTCTATTATATGATTGACATATTTTCGTCGAAATCAAATATTTCACTTTTAAACAATTCATTACTTTTTTTCGTTTTTTTCTTTTAATAAAAATAAAATTTATTTGGAATAATTATAATCGAATCATTCATATAATACAGTATAGAATTTCTATAAGAAAATGTTTATTTCTCCAACAGAAATCGAATGATTATTGTATTATTAATTCGATTATCTTTTCATAACAATAAAATCTGTCGTCATATGTATTGTTATGTTGTTATTCTTTTCGATTGTATCTTTCTTCTTTTCATTGTTTTCGATCGATTTTTT